CGACATTGGGTCCTCATTCGATAAATACTGCTCATATTGTTCGAGTTCTAAACATGCATTTAAAAGTTCTTCATCGCTGTCTTGAACATTATTATCGAAATCAAATTCAAAAGTAGGTAATTCAATGTCACGCAGCGAATCCATTTCTGCGGAGGAGGGATAAGATCATCCTTCGCATCCGTGCGTTTACCGGTGAAATAAACAATAACATTTGACCAATCAGAGAGCGCGTACTATGATAGCTATAATATAATTCGATATAATCAAGTGTGTAAGTGTACTCATGTTTGAATACTTTGTTTTCGAAAATGGCTCGAAAAGTTCTAAAACTCGCTACAAACGCGACATGCTTTTTCATACAGAAGCCAGTATATTAGAGCTTTTTATTTACAAGTTTTAGCCGCAACTTTTTAGCAGCTTTTATCACACTATTAGTGCTGTGTTCAAAACGCCAACTATTACTTGAAATATTTGAAAAGAAGGCTCGTTAAAGATCATATTATATCATTGCTATTTAGGGGACTATCCAAAAGGATCTCATTATCTGTTCCTGGTACAGCATAGCTGATCATGGTTCTGTGGTCATCTTGATTTTCAACTGGAGCAGTCATCCAAAGGCACAAGGTAAGACTTGTCATGCTTGGTAGATTCCTCGTAACCACGATATAGTCGGTGGTTGATTCACGAGCAAATCAGTTTATGTTGTCGATTGCTGTGTGAATAACAGATGTATATTATTCGATATTGAAGTAAAAGAGGCAGTAACCCATTAATGCTTTGCGACCGTTTGTTTGCTTTGCTAGTTTCTGATTGGTCGCGATCGGTTTTGGCATACAAGTTTAATGAAGAACGTTTGATTTCTTGGCTTTGAAGTCATTGTTTAGTGCCCAGCGCATTGCTGTTTTGATAGAAATTAGTCGATAGAGGCGAACGAAGCAAAGTTTGCATTAATTTTTTTTGCGGATTAACAACCATTTCTCAATTTGATAGAAAAACATACTTTACTCTATTAGCAATGTAGCGAAAGTAGTTCAAGAGCAATATTGTGTGCGAAAGCAAGGAAAAAGATCAAAGAAAGATGAAGAAATATTGCGCAGTCCCTTAATACCATACGCGAAATTAAAACTAGGAGAGTGTTCAAAGGAGTAAAAAAAAGAACAGGTTAATGGTAGTTAATGTAAAGAAATCAATATTACTGTTCTATGAAGATCGCAARAGGTTAAACATTTCTGAGCCAACAAAACAAACATCGCGTTGTCCTTTACAATTAACATGATCAAGAGATCAGACTGAAAAASGTTTTTTGGGTAATCGTCTCTTTGCAGCAGCTATCGTCATTGCCAAACACTGCCTTTAGTCTTTAGGCTAACTTTTGAAAGCCTTAGAATAAGTACAAGATAATAATACCATGGCCCAGTCGGGAAAGCTATCAAGTATGTCCTGAAATATTATTGCTTCTACAATATATGTCGGATATTTTGGAAACAAGCAAMAATACAAACCTCGCGTTGTGCCTTTATTAACCCACTTTAAAAGCATTTTCAAAAGAAGACAAAGAGACGAAATCAAAAAAATCGTAAAATTGTTAACTCCTCAACTTACATATGATATTCCATGATATCCTAACCTATTTTTAAGCAAAACCTCATGAATATTTATTCATATTTTATTTCAAAGATAGCTCTGACATTCTAAATCGGTAGCAAGTGAAATACATACATCATCACCTGATAAGAACGGCTCTGATGTGAGAAACAGTTATCCGTTGCAAATTCGAAAAGATGCAACACTCCAACCACACTAAAAGGGTCCGCAGTAATTGTCTCACGCTGTTGCGCTGTTAAGTTCTTAGCCTTGTATATAGAGAATAATACATGGGCGCGCGAAGATATGGAATTTATCTTCGAGTGTTCAATTTGATATCTCACGAGTGAGATTAAGATTTAAGGAATAAAAGACGAAATTCCGTGTTTGATACTCTGATCAAAACACGCGGGATGTAGGGAGAGCACGAGAGAAGCGTAGGAAACCACGACGCGTAGCGGAGTGGTTTCCAGCTTTACGAGTGCTCTCCCTACATCCCAAGTGTTTTGATCAGAGTATATATCAAACACGGAATTTCGTCTTTTATTTCTTTTCTAAAATTAAAAGAATAAAAGAAATTTTTGACGCGCACGAGCGTGTTTTGATACTGTAATCAAACATGGTTTTCGACCAATCACAGCGCGCGTAGTATCCTAAATATTTTAGAAATAAACTATAGTGTTCTTTGCCACCTCGTAAGCCGAAGGGAATGCAATTGTTGAACCACAGTGTGTTTATTAACGCTTTTGGTGAGCTTAGACCCATTTCTTTCCTTTCAAACAGAGTGTCTCGMTCTTCTGGAGTGAGGCTGGATRCTTCCTKAGGTTTGTTTCCTTTCCCAAACCGTTTTAGTTGTTTTTGTTTTGACTTCAGTCTCTCTCGTTTGGGAAAAACTCTGCCCTGTAATCACAGACTTCAGTGTACCGGCATTTTTTAAAATGTCTTTCCACTGATGCAATAAATCCTCGTAGTGTGGTCGGTTCGTATTCCTCGCCGTTTTTCTTTCTGACAGATAAAAGGAATCTGGACAAAAACAAGTCGAGCTCTCGAGGAGGAATTTCTTCAATCGTGTGAGTCTCCTTCTCAGCCGTAAGAAATAACTGAATGAGCGACAGGTCGTTCTTCGTCTTTCTTTTGGTGTTTACATTTTCCTCCTGCTCGATAAACTCTTCCACGTCTTCTAGATTAAATGTGACAAACTTTTCTGCCATTTTTTGAAGGTTTTTTTGAAGAAAGATGTAGAAAATTCCAGTGAACAAGCTACCAAGGCAAAGGCAAAGATGCCGATGTGATTTTCGCGCCTGAAGAAAATGACGTCATAGAATGCGAAAATCTGATTGGTTTATAATTTCACATGTGAAAAATATCGTATCTTTACGTGTGCTGAAATACGAAATTTCTCAGTTGCGGAAATCCTTTTAAAACACTATAGTTTATATAATAAAACGTAGTTTTATGTAGTATATGGATTAAAGAAATTCATTTTCCAATTTGTATATCCTTCGGGGCAAAGCTAATAAAAGAAATACAGATAAAAGTATATAGCGAGGATGTAACCTCTTAACGCTCCCGTAAAGTTCTTTGGCGCGAATTTGATTATTAACAAATTGCGCACAGTTTTGAGTTGTATGTCCTCTTATTGACACACTCTTGACGTCATAAAATGTTCAAAATTCAAGTGGTTCACTGAAACCAACTTCTTTCCCAGGCCCTTATCCCTTGGCTTGGGATTAGGCGGGAAAAGGTCAGCCAAATACCCGCCAAATACCCAGCCAAATACCCGCTATTAAGATTTATCCCTTCACTGTATTGATACTCATGATCTAGGCTTTGACTGTGCGAGATCCCTGTGCTTTCTATAGTTTTGGGCTTGTTGAAAATGGCGCGCTTATTGAGATGGCGAGTT